ACCGGAGCTGCAGTTAAAGCAGGAAACTGTAAATAGTTGGAGGCTCTCAAATGGGTGTTCGATTTTACAAACAGAGATGCTAGCTATTCAAAAGGCTTTGGAACATGCTCTTGCTGAACACCGAGAACTTGTCATCTTACATACAGATTCGAGAACCGCCACTGAAACATTACAAGAACACATATGTGATAACATACATCTGATCACAAATGTCATATCATTAATGCAAACACTCAAACGACAAGGCCGACGGGTACTTATCAACTGGGTGCCAAGTCATGTGGGAATAATAGGAAATGACATTGCAGACGAAGCTGCAAAACTTGCAACTAAGAGAAGAAATGTAGACATTTACATACCACAGAGTCTATCACAGATTAAGAAAGTAATTAGAAACAGAGCAATGCAGAAGATGTACAGTGACCACAACACAGCAGTTGCAACATCAGGATCTGCGGGTTGGTACAAGAATTCAACCAACTACGAACCACTTAGTTTGATGAAAGGGAGCAGTAGAGCAACAGAAGTACACTTACATCGCATCAGGCTTGGATACCCATGTGCATGGGAAATAGGCTTACAGGTTCCGGAAGATGAGAGGAAATGTCAGCACTGTGGAGAAATGCCCGACAGACCACTGGAACATTATCTAACACAGTGCACAGTTACAGCCACAACAGACCACTGGAACATTATCTAACACAGTGCACAGTTATAACCACAACAGACCACTGGAACATTATCTAACACAGTGCACAGTTACAGCCACAACAGACCACTGGAACATTATCTAACACAGTGTACAGTTACAGCCACAACAGACCACTGGAACATTATCTAACACAGTGCACAGTTACAAACCCATTAAGATTTCAACTTAGATTCAACAGAGCAGAAGAAGTTGTTAAACACATGGGGCAAAATCTTACTGAAGCGACCATACGAGTCATAAATACTCATACTCCGCCCAAGTAAAACAGAAACAAGCAACACTTAGTGGGCCAGCCAGAGGCTTAGGGCCCGCCCAGTGGGCCAGCCAGAGGCTTAGGGCCCGCCCAGTGGGCCAGCCAGAGGCTTAGGGCCCGCCCAGTGGGCCAGCCAGAGGCTTAGGGCCCGCCCAGTGGGCCAGCCAGAGGCTTAGGGCCCGCCCAGTGGGCCAGCCAGAGGCTTAGGGCCCGCCCAGTGGGCCAGCCAGAGGTTTAGGGCCCGCCCAGTGGGCCAGCCAGAGGCTTAGGGCCCGCCCAGTGGGCCAGCCAGAGGCTTAGGGCCCGCCCAGTGGACCAGCCAGAGGCTTAGGGCTCGCCCAGTGGGCCAGCCAGAGGCTTAGGGCCCGCCCAGTGGGCCAGCCAGAGGCTTAGGGCCCGCGCAGGAATATCGCTGCAAAAAAAAATTTATCTCTCTTTATTTTACATTTTATATTTATATATAATATATTTCAAATTCAGAATGTTCCCATATATGTCATCTATGTCACTTAATCACATTCATTAATTATCAAAAGCAGTTACATCTCAAACTAAATCAAATATGGCCTTGGCCTAAACAGTTACAATGTAGAGGATGACAATGACTGTCAAGGACAGAATGGTGTCATACGCGCCAGTCACCTCTTAACACACCAATTGTGTCCACCAGTTGGACAAAACTAATCACCAAAGATGTTTTACCATCTCCACATTCTCTACATTATGGTGGCTTCCGCCGAGCTCCTTCAACATCCGGCAGAGGACGCCCTGGACAACTTATCATACCCAAGATACCAAACACTTCCTAGTAATGTTAAAAATAACAATTATGAATAATATAGTTGATGCATAACGTTTCAGAATTTCCTTTATGGAGACCGTCTCATATGGGTATTACCCAACATGATGATACAGTTACTATTGTATGTAACAAACCACAAAGCTAGGTATCCCAATCTCTATTCTCGAAACTACACTACACAAAAACTAGGGCTGACAGAAGAGCAATTACATACTGTGCTCAGATTGATTGATGAAGATTAAGCCACCCAAAAGGTGGCACGGGCATGAATAGCCCGTAAGTGGTGGCCGTTTTGAGCCATTACCAGTATCAAGAGCTGATACTGGAGATCTGTGGAGGTGCGACTGCACCCAGCTTGACGGAAGATGTCTCCCGTGTACTGTGCTCAAATGGCAGAAAGCACTTGTATAAAGTTACGGGTTATTCATACCCGTGCCACCTCTAGGGTGGCATAATCTTCATCAATCAATCAACTTATATGAAGATTCCTGGTTATGTTAAGAACTGATAACTACATACACAGACAGTAAAAAAAATCCATCAGATAATGTGAAATTGTAATTAACAGAATTAGACTAGAATATAAACATTAAACAAACTGCAGATAGCCTACTAGCCCGCATGTCGCAGCTCATATATATATCCACCCAAACTCATTCATATATATGTCTAACCTACACTTGAAACAATGACCATTTGGTCACCATTTGGTCCGGGAGACATCTCCCGTCACGCAGGGTGCAGTTGCGCCTCCACAGATCTCCAGTATCATCTTTTGATACTGGTAATGGCTCAAAAGGGCCACCACTTACGGGCTATTCATGCCCGTGCCACCTCTTGGGTGGCTTAATCTTCATCAATCATCAATCAATCTTGAAACAATCACGGGATCCCACGTAAGAAAGCGTTACCTGTAGCAGGAAATGAATCTTGTCAAATATAGCCGTCGAGAATGACATGGAGGCTTAACTTAATGTATAAATTATGTTAGCTAATGTTTTACAGTTTTATTTTTACAATTATTAAAATGTACAGGAAACTTCATTTTTTGTTTTGACTATGTAAATTTGTAATGGATTTACAATTATAGTAGTCTAATTAGAGCAGAACCTACACGGCAGTTATAATGTTACAATGTTTTTCATTAAGTGCGTAAATATAAGTAAGATTATTGTATGCCCAGGCAGAGCGAGCGTGTTAGTGGCTTTGCATAAATGTACCAATTAATTACCAAAAGTATGTATTTACCCGCCCCATTGTTGTTGATTTCTGGGCCACGACGCTTCAGGTGCAGGCTGAGCCCCCGGTGGCCCTGTCTGAGGTCAAAGTTGAAGCCTTGCGGCCATGTACCCGGCGGGTGGCGACGACGGAATACCCTGACTTCTGGCAGATGTCCGGGAACACCCATGGCGTCCCCCGGGGAGGCGAACACCCCCCCACACCACACAAAACCAGCACGAATACCACATCAGCATCACGATTAGGTGTCAAAGTCGCGTCAAAACGACGAAATCACTGTAGTCCCTCGCAGGCGATGAGTCACAATTAATAACGTGGCTAAAGTAAGTTGACCAGACCACACACTAGAAGGCGAAGGGACGACGACGTTTTGGTCCGTCTTGGACCATTCTCAAGTCGATTGTGTCACACAATCGACTTAAGAATGGTCTAGGACGGACCGAAACGTCATCGTCCCTTCACCTTCTAGTGTGTGGTCTGGTCAACTGTAGTCCCTCCTAAACTTGTGCCAAATTGTAAAAAAAAAAATCCTCTGCAATGACCTCTGGCAGCGCAGACATTACAGACGGCCGCATCACGCCCCAGTCCGGCGCCGGACACTCTCTCCTCTTCCGAAAATCCAACCGGAAAACGGAAAAGAATATGTCAAGTTGCCTATGACCCGGGCGAGACGTGCGCCAGGCATCGTGTCGCCAGCGATGCTAGATCTGAATTGCTGAAAGACAACTAGCGAGCTGAAGGACTAAAAGTAGCGAATTTGTAATAAAAGTAGCCCAATATTTTGTTTAATGACTGATACGGTTTTCAAAGTCATATATTTTAATACAGAGTAAAATATATATATATATATATATATATATATATATATATATATATATATATATATATATATATATATATATATATATATATATATATATATATATATATTTCATTCGCTGCATGAAACGCACATTTATGCATGTTGAGTCCCTCCAGTCTTCACAGCTGACCAATGTTTAGCATTATTATTATCAAGAAGTTCTTAATCCACAACTTCCTTTTGGTACACCGCAGACTCATATTTTAGCAAAGACAAGGGTGGTTCAAATTACTTCTTGATGTACATGTTTTGGTTCTCAAGATTATTTTTTAATTTTTTATTTGATTTTTGTCAAAAGCTCTAGTAATTTTCGATTTCTCAGTTTAGTTTTCACAGACTTTACTTTCGAAAATACTCGTTCATCTAGGGCATTATTGATTGATAAGCTGCATATTTTCAATACAAACTCAGCGAGGTCAATCAGCCTGCGCCCTCCAGCAGGGTTCTGTTATTGTTGCATTGGTCCTAAATGATGATCCAGCACATGTTAGAATGTGCAGCCCGTCCTCTTAAAAATGACGTCGCTTTTCGCTCGAATGCGCGCTATGGCCAAAAATGGACGTAATTTGAAATGAAATCGGCCCAAAGTGATGAATCTAAAAATTCAAAATTTATTTAAAATTTTTTTTATTTTCAAATTATGTCCATTTCGGCCATACGGGTAAACGGCCAAATTCAGATGTAATTTGTAAGAGGACAGGTTGCCAGTCAGTGGTTAACGGCAGACGGGTACTTATCAACTGGGTGCCAAGTCATGTGGGAATAATAGGAAATGACATTGCAGACAAAGCTGCAAAACTTGCAACTAAGAGAAGAAATGTAGACATTTATATACCACAGAGTCTATCACAGATTAAGAAAGTAATTAGAAACAGAGCAATGCAGAAGATGTACAGTGACCACAACACAGCTGTTGCAACATCAGGATCTGCGGGTTGGTACAAGAATTCAACCAACTATGAACCACTTATTTTGGTGAAAGGGAACAGTAAAACAACAGAAGTACACTTACATCGCATCAGGCTTGGATACCCATGTGCATGGGAAACAGGCTTACAGGTTCCGGAAGACGAGAGGATATGTCAGCACTGTGGAGAAATGCCCGACAGACCACTGGAACATTATCTAACGCAGTGCACAGTTACAAACACAAAAAAATTTCAACTTAGGTTCAATAGAGCAGAAGTTGTTAAACACATGGGACAAAATCTTACAGAAGGGACCGTACGAGTCATAAATACTCATACTCCGCCCAAGTAAAACAGAAACAAGCAACACTTAGTGGGCCAGCTAGAGGCTTAGGGCCCGCGCAGGAATTTCCCTGCGAAAAAAAAAGGTAGACGCCACTGGTTTTCAATTTCGTTAAGATTGGTCAGCTAGAACTAATGAAAATTCGGAAAATGGTGACTGTGTGTAGTTTAGGCTGCATATGGTAGTGACTAGTCCTTCACCTTTTTGAAAGTTTCAACAATGCCAGGAATGCAGTATTAAAGCTCTTTGCAAGCCTTCACTAAAAATTTATGGCATCTTTGTTGAACACTGAAGATTTTTCTGAGTATGCTATGCCATAGCATATAGCATAGCATACCCAGGAAAACAGACAAAACAACAGCATTGTTCTAGCTCTCTTTTAATGGCCAGAAGTGTATAAAATTTGTAGTTTGGAGCGAGTATATTATTGGGATAATCTACTCGCTACAGTCCACTATCTCCAGGAGCAGATAAATGGAATTGAAGCCCAAATTAACATGAAGTTTTGTATAATCAGAATGCATGATTCTTCTCAGCATTCCAAGCCAATGTGAACATCCAATTCAGTGTGAATATGCTACACTGACTAAATATATGCTAAAAGATCTGCATCTTTTCTCCCTTTCTCTCCTTAATAGGTACACTGTAGCAAAATTTGTGTTCAACATAACAACTATGATACAAGATGATACCAGTGATTACAATGGTGAGGATGCATGTCTTAGGCGCATATATTGGGGGAGTGGGTAGCACAAGATACAGTGCGAGTTTGAAGCACTTGGTAGGAAAATATGAGGACGAAATTAGGTACTTTTTGGTTTTACTTTTGAAAAAGGCATAGGTTGGACAGCTTTTAATTCCGTTATGGAGTGAGTTCCATAGACTACGTCCCTTTATTTGCGTAAATTTAGTTTGACTCTAGTTTGACTGAGTGTATGTTTAGCATGTTTAGTGATTTAAACAGAGGGGCTGTGTGTTGTCTGAAAACAGAGTTTGTTATTGTTCTGATAGCAGATTTTTGCTAGGTGATGATGGGCTTGAGGTAGTTTGCAGTTTTATTTATTTTATTTATTTATATATACAAGAGTTCTTACATTCTTGTTTATTACATTCTTGTGCAGTGGATTAGCATGTAGCACGTAGTATAATAAAAGGAGAGGAGAGTGAGGAACATAATATATGATTTTAGAAAGTATGCCAACTATTTTTCATACTATATTTGCTAAGTGTTATATGTGGTTAATGAGGTTGAGTCTCTTTTCTATGTATAAACCAAGGAACTCTCCATCATTTGTATTGCTAGATTACATAAGATAGGTATTTTTACATTCTTGCAAAGCCACTAGCACGCATTGCGTTTCGGGCAGGTCCTTAATCTAAAATATCAGGTACGATATATGGAGACAAGTGGTCAAAATCACGCCACGTGGTCTAGGTAGAAGCCAGTGTTGAACTACGAGATATCACATAGCCCACTGCACGCTTTTGTATATATTTATGCATTAAAACATAAATAAAATAAGAGTGCTAGTGAATAACCTACTTAATCCCCCCTCTCCCTCCTTTTACCCCACGTTGCTAAATATTAGCATCTTCCGCAACACCAGCCGCAGAAAAAAAAATCAATTTCTATTGGTCACTTATACCATTTGAAACATTAAATAATCCTCATTATATAAGGATGTCGTTACTAATTGTGTTTTAGCACCAATTACCAATTACTAACTTCTCACCAATGTGAGAAGTTAGCAGTTTGTGCTGCACTTGCCTAAGGTAAACACAGAAGCGCGGGTAAAACTGCCCCAGAGTTGAGCACACGCCAGTGTTGACTGTGTGTGTGTGGGAGAGTTGTCAACATTACCTAACATGACTCGCGATAAGACTACCCTTGAAGGTTCGATATTACAATGTTACCACAGTTAAGAGAAGGTTTAGTAGTCTGATTGATTGATTGATGAAGATTAAGCCACCCAAAAGGTGGCACGGGCATGAATAGCCCGTAAGTGGTGGCCCTTTTGAGCCATTACCAGTATCAATAGATGATACTGGAGATCTGTGGAGGTGCGACTGCACCCAGCGTGACGGGAGATGTCTCCCGTGTGAATGTGTTAAGATGAAGATGAAGCCACCCAAAAGGTGGGTGGCACGGGCATGAATAGCTCATAAGTGGTGGTTCTTTTGAGCCATCACCAGTATCAATAAATGATACTGGAGATCTGTGTAGGTGCAACTGCACCCTGCATGAGGGTAGTTGTCTCCTGTGTAGTAGTCTGAAATGGGTGGTTTTTATTCTTGGCAAGGTTGTCTGGTAATAGGTTGTCCGGTTGTCTGATAGGTTGTCCGGTGTTCAGGGGAGCGCAAAATACTCGTATTAACCCTATATATTGTAATCCAGGGTGTAGTGGAACAGAGCTTTCCGGTGAGACTGATGATTGACTGATGAAGATTAAGCCACCCAAAAGGTGGCACGGGCATGAATAGCCCGTAAGTGGCGGCCCTTTGGAGCTATTACCAGTATCATTAGCTGATACTGGTAATCTGTGGAGGTGCGACTGCACCCTACGGAGAGGTCGTGACCTCTGATGGGACTGGGAGCTCCGGTAGGATAGGGAGTCTTCTGGTGGGACAGTGAGCCCCCAGTGGGAGGGAGCTCCCAATGGGTTATCATGAGGTTATCTTGAGATGATTTCGGGCTTTTTTTAGTGTCCGCGTGGCCCGGTCCTCGGCTAGGCCTCCACCCCCAGGAAGCAGCCCGTGACAGCTGACTAACACCCAGGTACCTATTTTACTGCTAGGTAACAGGGGCATAGGGTGAAAGAAACTCTGCCCATTGTTTCTCGCCAGCGCCTGGGATCGAACCCAGGACCACAGGATGACAAGTCCAGCGTGCTGTCCGCTCGGCCGACCGGCTCCCTGACGGGAGCAAGCAAGATGGGACAGCAACGGGACAGCAAAATGCTATACTCAAATCATATACATGAGCTTGACAAAACAAAACGCTGTGTATATGTCTGAAACGCTTTCCTTTGCCTGAGACGCCGTGCACATTATGTTTGTAATTCATCTTCTATGTATGTACTTTTACCTGAATAAACATTTTTATTTTATTTTATTTTTACCAGACATTTTCAGTGGCTCATAAAACTGAAAGACTTTGAAACAAGGGTGGCAGTATCTGTGTTAATCAAAGCAGAATACTAAAATCAAGGAATTATTAAGTACTTTAAATTTTGATTAAAAACCATAAACAAGACAATCACTGGCAAATTGAGAGGATACCGAGTAATTTTTGGTTTACTTTCATAATTAACTTAATTTGACCTTGGGGGACCTCAATATAGGCCTAACATGTACCTTGAGGTGCTTCCTTGAGGTGCTTCCGGGGCTTAGTGTCCCCGCGGCCCGGTCGTCGACCAGGCCTCCTAATTGTACATTGTACATTGTACATGTACCCTAACATTAAGGGCCCTGGTAGTACAGTCAGGTTTGTTCTCGACGCACAGTCCAGAATTCCGGGTTTGAATTCCAGGCGGGACAGAAATGGTTGGGCACATTTCCTTTCACCTAATGCATCTGTTCACCTACCAGCAAATAGGTATCCAGGAGTTAGCTTGTTGTGGGGTTGCATCCTGGGCGGGATCAGTAATTTGACTCTGGGCGGGGGGAAGGGGGGGGGGAGGGACCTCGATAAAAGCCTAACATGTATGAATACACTCTGGCTTCCTGTCCTCTAACAGTGAATGGTTATAACCTTGCACATTATAAGGAACAATGGCTTCAAGCTCAACAAGCCACAATGTAGGACTGAGAACAGGAGATGCTTTTTCACCCACATGGGTATTAACCCATGGAAGCGCCTACCCATATATATATATATTTTACATTCTTGTAAAGCTGCCACTAGCACGCATAGCATTTCAGGCCACTTAAACGCATAGCATTTTGGGTCACTAGCATGCATAGCGTCTTGGGCTGCTAGCACACTGAGCATTTTGGTCCACCAGCACTGATAGCATTTTGGGCCACTAGCATGCATAGCATTTCAGGCCACTAGTGCGCACAGCATTTCAGGCCACTTGCGTGCACAGCGATTCAGGTCACTAGTATGCATAGCATTTCGGGCCACTAGCACGTATAGCATTTCGGGCCACAAGCACGCATATCGTTTTGGGCCACTAGCATGCATAGCATTTCAGGCCACTAGTGCGCACAGCATTTCAGGCCACTTGCGTGCACAGCGATTCAGGTCACTAGTATGCATAGCATTTCGGGCCACTAGCACGTATAGCATTTCGGGCCACAAGCACGCATATCGTTTTGGGCCACTAGCATGCATAGTGTCTCGGGCCACTAGCATGCATAGCGTCTCGGGCCACTAGCATGCATAGCATCTCGGGCTTCTAGCATGCATAGTGTCTTGGGCCAGTAGCATGCATAGCATCTTGGGCCACTAGCACGCATAGTGTTTCGGGCCTCAAGCACGCATAGTGTTTCGGGCCTCTAGCATGCACAGCATTTTGGCCCACTACCATACCACTATAATAAATTGATAATTTATTTTCAGTATTATATGCCATTAAACTTTTTCCAAACTTAGTCTGCAGTTTGCTCCTTAATTAGGTTATTCTTATTTAGGTAGAAAATTCTCAATGTCAAACTTTTTACTAATCCTTTTAATTTACATTTTTTATAATTTTTGTGTATTACTAATGCATATATTAAAAGTAGGTAATTCTCTTTTTCATAAGATATTTACATCTTGGTTACTTCAGCTCTTATAAAAAGCTACCAGTAAATTTTACGTTGCTTGTCCGGTGTTAAAATTTGAAGTACTGTACTGTACAATTTATATTTCAGAGGACTGTGTTCCAGTGAGGAGAGGCAAATCCAGGCAAAAGGGAAATGAGGCTAAAAAAATTTCCAGCAAAGCAGAAATAAAGAAAACATCAAAGAAGCATGAAAAAGTAGCTGAGGCAAATAAACAGAAGGTTAAGAAGGATGACATGAGAGAGATGGATGTGGAAGAGAAGAAGGTGAAGAGACGAAGGGTAAATAAAAAGCGATCTCTTACTAAAGAAGACGATATAAGTGAGGAGCCAGAAGTAAAGAAGAAAAAGAAAAACTCAAACAAAATTAATGTAAATGGTAAGTCTACACAGGATAAAACTGGGATCCATGAAAGCAAAGGAAAACACAAACTCAAGGTGGATGTAAACATTGGAATGACAAATGACGAAGCAAAACCTACAACAGACGATGAAGGGAAATCACAAACACTTCACGAAGTCTCCAAAAAGAAGAAGAAGGCAGAGGTATGCACTATATGTTATCCATCTGTATCCATCAAATTATTTATATAAAAATTCTTATTTTGTCCAGAATATTTTTCAAGTGTATAATTTTTCATATTGTTTCTCCTCACATTAGTATCAAGGTTACAATGCTTGATGGTAAATTACTGCTATGTGACTTTGGTGTCACATAACTGATATGATTTTACTTTACTGAGAAATAAACAGACTTGCTGACTGTATTAAAAGTTTAAATACTATACAGTAAAATAGATTTGGAGAAAGAGCAGATAACAGTAAGGTTGAATGGTTGTAATAGTTATTCAGAAATAAGCTTGGAATACTGTATTTGTATAATTTGAATCGTTTGAAAATATAATACTGTAGTAAGAAAATTTCATCGTTTTATAATGTAGTAATTCTTCCAAAATCTAGCATACTCAGTCTGCTCTATTTAGGTTATGTAAATTTTTATACAGCTATTGAATTTATGGTAAAATAACAGGTCTAGTGCATCACTTTGATGGCCTTTACCCCATGGCAGCAGTCATTTGCTTTGTTTACCCAAGTGATTGATGATGATTGATGAAGATTAAGCCACCCAAGAGGTGGCCTGGGCATGAATAGCCCGTAATACCCAAGTGTGTCTGATTTCTTTCAAGCAATCGCTTGTTTTGTTGTGCCTATACTTCTAGTGAATTTTGCTGGTGTTGTGGTTTATCTCTGATCCCCCCGGCTCCGCTCTCACCTCACCAGCCACATTCTGGTCCTGGCTCCTGGTGGATGCCAGGTGGGGGTTTCTTCTTGTTGATAGTAGGTGCAGTTTGCATGAAGGGTTTGTCCTCCCGATGTCTGCACCAGTACTGATATTGGTGGATACGTTTATGTTGAGGATGATGTGGTGGTTTCAGAGGACTGGTTGGTTGGGCCTCTGGAACGGCTTGCTGGAACTAGAATTACATTTGGGAGAGTTACTGGGGCCCACTTGATAATGATGATTATAATAATAATGTTTATTCAGGTACATTCAAACAAAATGAGTTACAAACAGAATGTTGGATTTCTAGGTAGAGCTAGCATATATACTATGCCTAAAGTCACTAATACACACAGTGTTTTGGGCAATTATGTTTCACTCTGTGAAATTGGAAAATTTATCCATCTTGCATTTATTTTGTTTGGTCCTAATGTTAATTAATGCACTGTATAGTACCTATGAAATACAATATAAAAAAATGAATCATCAATCTGTTTTGAGTTCAATAAATAGAGCAAGGTGATGGATTTAGATTATTGTACTGTATCTTATCAGATTCATATATACATTATTTTCTCTTATTTGACAAAAGGATGAACCAGTTCCACGTCCCGTTAAGTACGAACGTTTGGGAGACGGCCCTACTCCTGTACCGTCAACAGGGCGCAAATACATAGGTTGCCATGTTTCTGGTGCTGGTAAGATATGCTGAATATTGTGCTTATTTTTGTGTCTAAGACATACTGTATATATATGATTATTTATTCATGCAAGCTTTGTTTATAAAAAAAAATTCTTACTTGCAGCATTTAAAGATACTGTACTGTACTTGTACTTCTTGATGGAATGAATTAATTGGGATTGACTTTGTCTGGTCCCTCTGACATTCTGTTGCATCCAGCATTGGCTTAGTTTTGTACATTTTCATGAAGAATTTTTTTCTCTGATATGTATTCTCTCAGTAGTTCCCTCATAGCTTAGGAGTGGTTAAACAGAAGCATGCTGCAAATATCAGGTTTCTATCACATCATTGCGGCCATGATCTACATAGTACAGCTAACTTTCTTTTTGACTCGCAATCGGTGATCCTGGTATTCCCAGGTGGGACAGAAATGGTTGGGCAAGTTTCCTTTCACTTAATGAGCCTGTTCACCTTGCAGTAAATACATTCCTGGGAGTTAGACTGTTGAGGGGTTCTATCCTGGGGAAGGTCAATAGTTCGACATTGGGAAAACCTCGATACAAGCCTCAAGTACATATATATACACAGGCTTCCTGTTCCTGACAAAATACCTGGTTACTTTGCGTTGATTCCAGGGGTCAGGGTCCTCGTGGCCCGGTCTCTGACCAGGTCAAATTAACTCAAGAAAGTTTTAAGTCTGAGACAAGAATACTAAAATGTCAATAGGAAGACTTCAGTCATGGCAGAATTAATTGGGATTTGCTGTATGGAGAATTACATCAAGGCACTGTTTCAGTTAGGGCCGTTAACGACCATCAATACTGAGAATAGACCTAAAACGGTGATGAAGCGAGAGGGGTTATTCAGTAAATTAAATTTTAATAATAAAAGGATAGACTGGGAGAAAATAAATTGGGAACTTACAAACATTCCATGGGAAACTGTTTAAGTAATACAAGTCCTACAGAAGGAATAGAAAAACTGACTTCGGAAGTGTATCAAGTCTGTCTGAAACATGTTCCTTTGAGGAAAGCCAGAAAGAGATCCAACGTAGAAAGAGAACGCAGACGACACTGTAAAAGAAGGAAAAAAATAATGGAAATGCTTATGCAGACACGAATTTCCCATCAAAGAAGGAATAATTTAAATAGGGAGATTGAAGAAATCGAGCGGAAATTGAAACACTCATATCAAACTGAAGAAAGGCAGTTAGAACAAAAAGCAATTCAGGAAATAAAGAAAAATCCAAAATACTTCTTCACATATGCAAAATCAAAAGCAAAAACCACTGCCAGTATAGGACCTATTCATACAAGTGAAGGTTCATACACGGAGGATGACAAAGAAATTAGTGAAATCCTAAAAAAGCAGTATGAGGACGTTTAGCACTCCAATAAACAACATGACAGTGGAAGATCCAGAAAATTTCTTTATGCGGGATATTCAAACCCCTGTAAATACTGTATAACTGTTATCAACACGAACATACTAGACTTTGAAAGAGAAAGTGAAAACATGCCCATGCACTCGGCCCCAGGTCCAGATTCACGGAATTCAATATTTATAAAGAAATGCAAAGTGCCGGTAGCACAGGCACTCAGTATGCCTGTGCTACTGGCACTTTGCCAGACATGGGGGAGATACCAGATGCACTTAAAGTAGCTGACATAGCCCCTCTACACAAGGGAGGGAGCAAAGCATTGGCAAAGAACTATAGACCAGTTGCACTAACGTCACACATAATAAAAGTATTTGAGAGAGTGATTAGGAATCGGGTCACCAATTTCATGGAGACCAATGACCTTCATAACCCAGGCCAACATGGATTTCGAGCGGAAAGATCGTGCCTCTCACAGCTACTTGATCACTACGACAAAGTCACTGAGGCATTAGAAGAAAAACAGAATGCTGATGTGATATACATGGAATTCGCAAAGGCTTTCGATAAATGTGACCATGGCGTAATAGCACACAAAATGAAGTCAATGGGAATAACCGGTAAAGTAGGGCGCTGGATACTCAGTTTTCTGTCAAACAGGACTCGGCGAGTAACAGTCAACCATATAAAATCTAGTCCAAGCGCAGTTAAAAGCTCTGTACCTCAGGGGTACAGTCCTTGCACCGCTGCTTTTCCTTATTCTCATATCAGATATAGACAAAAATACAAGTCACAGTTTTGTATCATCCTTTGCAGATGACACAAAAATCAGTATGAAAATTACCTCGGCTGAAGACATTGAAAAACTTCAAGCTGATATTAATAAAGTTTTCGACTGGGCAGCAGAAAATAACATGATGTTTAACAGTGATAAATCCAAATTACTCAGGTACGGTAAAAATGAGGAGCTTAAACATAATACAGGGTACAAAAACAATCAAATGTGCCCCTAGTAGGAAAACAGCATGTAAAGGATTTGGGAATAATGATGTCTGATGACCTAACGTTTAGAGAGCATAACCAAGCAAATATTGCGTCAGCCAGAAAAATGATCGGATGGATTACGAGAACTTTCAAATCCAGGGATCCCATCACAATGGTTGTACTCTTCAAGTCACTTGTATTGTCCCATCTTGAGTACTGCTCAGTACTCACGAGTGATTGCCGAAATAAAGGGAATACAGAGAACATATACGGCATGCATGGACGCGATAAAGCACCTAAATTATTGGGATCGTCTCAAAGCCCTCCAAATGTACTCACTAGAAAGAAGACGAGAGATATTAAATAATATACACGTGGAAGATGCTGGAGGGCCAAGTATCAAATCTACACAGTAAAATAACAATGTACTGGAGTGAACGATATGGAAGAAAATGCAGAATAGAACCAGTGAAGAGCAAGGGTGCCATAGGCACAATCAGAGAACACTGTATAAACATCAGAGGTCCACGGTTTTTCAACACCCTCCCAGCGAGCATAAGAAATATTGCCGGAACAACAGTGGACATCTTCAAGAGGAAACTAGATTGTTTACTACAAGGAATGCCGGACCAACCGAGCTGTGGTGGGTATGTGGGCCTGCGGGCCGCTCCAAGCAACAGCCTGGTGGACCAAACTCTCACAAGTCAAGCCTCCTTGGGCCGGGCTTGGGGAGTAGATCTCCCAGAACCCCATCAACCAGGGGGCAGAAGAAATGATTCAAGGACTGCCTCAAGGTGACCCCTTAAAGACCTGGACATCAACCCCAGCACTTGGGAGTCGCTTGCTCAGGACTGTCCAACTTAGCTAAGCCAAGTTACCATGGGGACCCATGTGGCAGAGAATGGATGGCATGCTGATGCCCAGAGGAAATTCGCTGCTTGTAAAGCTAGGGCAACCTCCACTTATACAGCAGCACCCACTCACATATGTTCCATGTGTGGGTCAGCCTTGCGAGCCTGGATTGGTGTCATCATCTTTTAACACAGCTACCTTTCTTCGACCTAATATTGAAGTCGGTCGTCTTCGATTCCGAAGGATGAACATCAAATTGGGAATTAATGAACCTGAGAGGGAGAGAGGAGACTGGGAAGGCAAAGCTGGGGAAAATGGTAAAAAGGAACTTCCTAATGTCAAGAAAGAAACACTGAAAAGATCAGCCAGCAAGACTAGTCTGTGAACATTGACAGGTTTCATTGTCATATGTCAATGGAGGTCGGTGACAACTGTATTTTAGTCTTTGAATATGTATTGATGACAGTGAAGGTTGTAGCAAGAAGAATGGGAAAAGTGGAAGACTAGCATATTGTTATATTACCAGAACATCAGTGAATTCAGAGATACTAGGATGGGAGAGAGAGAACACGGAAGAAATTTAACACAAAACATGATGGACTATATATCTAATAAACGCCAAAGAAGCCAAAGAAAGACTTAATGCTCAGGAAGCAAAAAGAGTATTTGCTCAAAGGTTGACAGGTGGTGCCTGTAGGTGAAAAAGAAGGAAGAGAAACAGAGCAAGAAGTACATAGATCACATAACAGTAGGGTACCTGGTTGATACCTGGTTGATGGGGTTCTGGGAGTTCTTCTACTCCCCAAGCCCGGCCCGAGGCCAGGCTCGACTTGTGAGAGTTTGGTCCACCAGGCTGTTGCTTGGAGCGGCCCGCAGGCCCACATACCCACCACAGCCCGGTTGGTCCGGCACTCCTTGGAGGAATAAATCTAGTTTCCTCTTGAAAATGTCCACGGTTGTTCCGGCAATATTTCTTATGCTTGCTGGGAGGACGTTGAACAACCGCGGACCTCTGATGTTTATACAGTGTTCTCTGATTGTGCCTATGGCACCTCTGCTCTTCATTGGTTCTATTCTACATTTTCTTCCATGTCGTTCACTCCAGTACGTTGTTATTTTACTGTGTAGATTTGGTACTTGGCCCTCCAGTATCTTCCAGGTGTATATTATTTGATATCTCTCTCGTCTTCTTTCTAGTGAGTACATTTGGAGGGCTTTGAGACGATCCCAATAATTTAGGTGCTTTATTGCGTCTATGCGTGCCGTATATGTTCTCTGTATTCCCTCTATTTCAGCAATCTCTTCTGCTTTGAAGGGGGAAGTGAGTACTGAGCAGTACTCAAGACGGGACAACACAAGTGCCTTGAAGAGTACAACCATTGTGATGGGATCCCTGGATTTGAAAGTTCTCGTAATCCATCCTATCATTTTTCTGGCTGTCGCAATATTTGCTTGGTTATGCTCCTTAAACGTTAGGTCGTCAGACATTATTATTCCCAAATCCTTTACATGCTGTTTTCCTACTATGGGTACATTTGATTGTGTTTTGTACTCTGTATTATGTTTAAGGTCCTCATTTTTACCGTACCTGAGTACCTAGAATTTATCACTGTTAAACATCATGTTATTTTCTGATGCCCAGTCGAAAACTTTATTAATATCAGCTTGAAGTTTTTCAATGTCCTCAGCCGAGGTAATTTTCATACTGATTTTTGTATCATCTGCAAAGGATGATACGAAGCTGTGACTTGTATTTTTGTCTATATCTGATATGAGAATAAGGAAAAGCAGTGGTGCAAGGACTGTACCCTGAGGTACAGAGCTTTTCACTGCACTTGGACTAGATTTTATATGGTTGACAGTTACTCGCTGAGTCCTGTTTGACAGAAAACTGAGTATCCAGCGTCCTACTTTACCGGTTATTCCCATTGACTTCATTTTTGTGTGCTATCACGCCATGGTCACATTTATCGAAGGCCTTTGCGAAGTCCGTGTATATCACATCAGCATTCTGTTTCTCTTCTAATGCCTCAGTGACTTTGTCGTAGTGCTCAAGTAGCTGTGAGAGGCACGATCTTCCCGCTCGAAATCCATGTTGGCCTGGGTTATGAAGGTCATTGGTCTCCATGAAATTGGTGACCTGACTCCTAATCACTCTCTCAAATACTTTTATGATGTGCGATGTTAGTGCACCTGGTCTATAATTTTTTGCCAATGCTTTGCTCCCTCCCTTGTGTAGAGGGGCTATGTCTGCTACTTTAAGTGCATCTGGTATCTCCCCCGTGTCCAAGCTCTTCCTCCACACTATACTGAGTGCCTGTGCTACCGGCACTTTGCATTTCTTTATAAATATTGAATTCCATGAGTCTGGACCTGGGGCCGAGTGCATGGGCATGTTTTCAATTTCTTTTTCAAAATTTAGTGCGCTCGTGTTTATATCAGTTATATTTACCGGGGTTTGAATATCCCGCATAAAGAAATTGTCTGGATCTTCCACCTTCATGTTGTTTATTGGAGTGCTAAACATGTCCTCATACTGCTTTTTTAGGATTTCACTAATTTCTTTGTCATCCTCCGTGTATGAACCTTCACTTGTACGAATAGGTCCAATACTGGCAGTGGTTTTTGCTTTTGATTTCGCATATGAGAAGAAATATTTTGGATTTTTCTTTATTTCCTGAATTGCTTTCTGTTCTAACTGCCTTTCTTCAGTTTCATATGAGTGTTTCAATTTCCGCTCGATTTCTTCAATCTCCCTATTTAAATTATTCCTTCTTTGACGGGAAATTCGTGTCTGCATAAGCAGTTCCGTTATTTTTTTCCTGCGTTTATAGTGTCGTCTGCGTTCTCTTTCTACGTTAGATCTCTTTCTGGCTTTCCTCAAAGGAACATGTTTCAGACAGACTTGATACGCTTCTGAAGTAAGTTTTTCTATTCCTTCTGTAGGACTTGTATTATTTAGAACAGTTCCCCATGGAATGTTTGTAAGTTCCCTGTTTATTATCTCCCAGTCTATCCTTTTATTATTAAAATTGAATTTACTGAATAGCCCCTCTCGCTTTATCAACGTTTTAGGTCTATTCTGAGTATTGATGGTCGTTTGCACTTCAATGAGTTTGTGATCTGAGTATGTGGTATCTGATATCGTAATGTCTCTGATAATGTCTTCATTGTTCGTAAAGACCAGATCTAGAATATTTTCATTTCTCGTTGGCTCCGATATCTGCTGATTGAGTGAAAATTTGTCACAGAATCTAAGTAGTTCTCTAATCTGTGGTTGGTTAGGTCCTGATAGATTTCCTGGTATAATATTATTGTTTGCTATTTTCCACCTGAGACTAGGCAAGTTGAAGTCACCTAGGAAAATAATATCAGGTATCGGGTTCTCCAAATTATCAAGGCTATTCTCTATTTTGCTTATCTGTTCTGTGAATTCCTCAGCCGTTGCATCTGGCGGTTTGTATATTAGTATAATCACTAAATTTATTTTCTCTATTTTTAATCCCAGTACCTCTACCACCTCATTTGTAACGTTTAGGAGCTCCGAGCATACAAGGTCTTCCCTAATATACAGACCCACTCCTCCATGTGACCTAATTTTCCTATCACACCTGTATAGGTTATATCCTGGAATCCAAATCTCACTGTCCAACAATTCCCCTGCATGGGTTTCTGTGAAAGCTCCAAATACTGCATTTTTATTGCACACAGAATTACCCTGCATTTTTATACTGCAGGGTATTACAACATATAAAATAAAAAAAGTACATTACATAAGAATTAGGAGAGAGAGGTAGAGTAGTAATATGAGAATGACATAGCATCCAAAGCCATGTTCCATGCTAAATTGCTTCAAAACTACATGAGGCAGAAGTTGTCTGTAAAGGACCTAGTGATCAGCCTACATGAAAGAGGATACCTTTAAGTTACCTTGGAGTTCTTCCGGGGCTTAGCGTCCCTGCGGCCCGGTCGTCGACCAGGCCTCCTTGTTGCTGGACTGGTCAACCAGGCTGTTTGACGCGGCTGCTCGCAGCCTGACGTATGAATCATAGCCTGGTTGATCGGGTATCCTTTGGAGGTGCTTATCCAGTTCTCTCTTGAACACTGTGAGGGGTCGGCCAGTTATGCCCCTTATGTGTAATGGAAGTGTGTTGAACAGCCTCGGGCCTCTGATGTTGATAGAGTTCTCTCTCAGAGTACCTGTTGCACCAATGCTTTTCAATGGGGGTATTCTGCACATCCTGCCATGCCTCCTGGTCTCATGTAATGTAATTTCTGTGTGCAGGTTTGGGACTAGCCCCTCTAATATTTTCCACGTATAAATTATTATGTATCTCTCCCGCCTGCGCTCAAGTGAATACAGGTTTAGGCTCTTGAGTCGGTCCTAGTAGTTTAGATGTTTTACTGAGTGAATTCTAGCAGTAAAGGATCTTTGCACGCTCTCCAGGTCAGCAATTTCTCCAGCTTTGAAAAGGGCTGTCATTGTGCAGCAGTACTCCACTCTAGATAGCACTAGCATCTTGAAAAGTATCATCATCGGTATAGCATCTCTAGTTTGAAAAGTTCTTGTTATCCAACCTGTCATTTTTCTTGCAGTTGTGACGGCTACTTTATTGTGTTCTTTGAAGGTAAGGTCTTCCGACATCAGTACACCCAAATCCTTTACATTGCTCTTTCGTTTTATGTTAGGATTTGACTGAGTTTTATATGTGGTTTCTGTTTTTATATTTTCATTTTTTCGTAGCGCATGAGCAGGAACTTATCTTCGTTAAACACCATATTATTTTCTATAGCCCATAGAAAGACCTGATTTACATCTGATTGGAGGTTTGCCGTGTCCTCTATGTTGTCTACTCTCATGAAAATCCTAGTGTCATCTGCAAAATATGATACAGTACTAAAGATTGTGAAATAGGATACTGTACTTCCTATTTCTTCATGAAAACGTTAATTTTGTAAAAGTTAACAGTTTGTAGCCATATAATATTCTAATATAGAAAATACAAGGGCCTAGAAAAGTACTGGTTCTTATTAATATGTGCTTGTGAATATGGGGGGATTCTCTGTGAGCCAGAGGTATTATAATTACCTCGGCATAACTTACGAAAACATTGTTTGTGGTGGTCTAAATACTTTTCTGGGGAGGGGAGCCCCTTTGGCTCGTCCCGTTCGATGGCAGACATAAATGCTCCAAATCACATGTGCTATTCTATAGGCCATTGCTCCTCATGCCTCTCTGAGGGGGCCAGGTTCTAGCTCGTGGTCCCTGCTAGGCCTATGAACTCCATTCTCACTGACTGATGCCAAAGTCTAATATATTACATAGCCTGGATAGCTCCAGGGAGCCTCCGGGTCTCACCCAGAAAATGCAGTTTCATTACGTTCAATGCTTTTTTTTTCAGGAGGGGTATGGAATGCCTTTGAAAATGCAGAACTGTGCAAGGCAGAGTCTTTTGCTCTCTTTCTACGCAACCAGCGCCAGTGGAATGCAAAACCCCTGGATGAAGGAACCATCGACAAGTGGTGTGATGTGAGCCAGGCATGTCAAATTTTAATAGTGCAGTGTACTCTTTACTGTTTGTGTATTTTCACATTGTCTTATGAGCTGTCACATTTGTGTGGTCCCTGAGGCAAGATCTGCCCAGTCAGTTGAACAGGATCATGCAGTCCAGTTGAAGGACATAACGGCTTTTGCCGGGGCATTATTGGTGCTGGTGACATTTTTTTTTTTTTTTTTTTTTTTTTTTTTTTTTTGAGATATATACAAGAGTTATTACATTCTTGTACAGCCACTAGTACGCGTAGCGTTTCGGGCAAGTCCTTAATCCTATGGTCCCTGGAATACGATCCCCGCCGCGAAGAATCGTTTTTTCATCCAAGTACACATTTTACTGTTGCGTTAAACAGAGGCTACAGTTAAGGAATTGCGCCCAGTAAATCCTCCCCGGCCAGGATACTTGCTTAGTGACTGTAACTACTCCTCCAACAGCCAGCTCCAAGCTATAATGTTGTGTGTATATTACTGCTGAATGGCATGATTCAAATCCTCATATTTAAAAGGTTTCAATGGTTTAATCACTTCTTTGATATATGCTCCTCTCCCTTTTATTTAAAGACTCCATGATCTCATTTGATTGCCTTTTCATGCCAGAAACATCACTAATGCCAATCCCATACTACTAGGAGCACAGTCAGATGCTGAGAGACTGCATTAACCCGAAAAAAAATTCTGTATTTTTACCTGAATTTACCCGAGTGCCACAAGAAAGCCAGCAACTTGTCAACAGTCCCTCATTTTTCTTGAGAATCTTTTTCTAATTGGATTTTGAACTGCAGTACTGCAATGTGTTGGCATTTATAGCTTTGGCGGGTAAATATTGTGCACTTTTCTTGTGATATACAAATTAGTGAGGGGTGGTTCTTAGCACCCATTAACTATAATTATTAAACAGTACAAAAAGTACAGGACATACCCAGGAATACACGGAAATTACATTAATGTGTTATATATCAATGAGAAAATCCACTAGGACTATAGGTGGGCGCGAACCTACGACCCCGGCATTGCCAGTCACATACTCTACCACTAGACCACCGGTGACTTGTATAAGACATACAACTGGATTTATACTGAAATCACAGGAAGTCTGGTGGCTCCTACTGAAGCCAGTCCAATTTTTACATGACCAGACCACACACTAGAATGTGAAGGGACGACGACGTTTCGGTCCGTCCTGGACCATTCTCAAGTCAAGTCGCCACAATCGACTTGAGAATGGTCCAGGACGGACCGAAACGTCGTCGTCCCTTCACATTTTAGTGTGTGGTCTGGTCATCATACTTTAGCCGCGTTATTGTGACTCATCGCCTGCAATTTTTACATATTAACCCATAATTATTCGGGTGGAAGGGCAAAATGGTCTAGTCTGTGAATGATGACCCCAAACTAATAAAGCACTACAGTGGTACCTCAGTTTATGAATGCCCCTGTTTACGAACTTTTCGGGTTACGAGCCCGATTTCTTTGGAAAATTTGAATCGGGTTATGAACTTTACCTCGTGATATGAGTTTGTTGATACACATATGGCCGACCTAGCATGTGGTGGCACGGCGATCGCGCCTCAGTTTCCCAGTGCCTCCCGCCTAGTGACTATCCTGCCTGAATTCATTGCAAGGATTTACAGTTTTTATTTTTTTTTATTTTTTACTATTTGAGCATAAAAGTTGTTATTATATATCTTGCTATGGGTCCCAAGAAAGCCAGTGGTAAGGTTCAAGGCAAGAAAACACATGTGAGAATGACCATAGAGGAAAAACAAGAGATCATTCGTAAACATGAAAATGGTACACGTGTTGTTGAGTTAGCTAGGCAGTATAACAAATCTTCAGGGGAGGAGGAGGCGGCAGTAGAGGATGTCCCTTCCTCATTAATTAAGAAAATGTGTGCAGTATGGAAAGAACTGCAAAGTTTTGCTGAAAAGAATCGCCAGATAAAACTTTAGCAGCCGGTCATTGCATTGATCTTATTAATGACAATGTGATGTCTCACTACAGACAAGTGTTACAAAGAAGGAAAAAACTCTTGAAGTAAAACAATGAGAAAATCATGTGGTGAGCCAGAAGCAGGTCTTAGTGATATGCAGGCAAAACGTGCCAGAGAGTGCACCCCAGAGAAGTCATCACTGCCTGATGTTATAATGGAAGGGGACTCCCCTTCCAAACAGTAACACCTCTCCTCTTCCCCCCTCCTCACCGTCTTCCATACGCCAACAGGAGTCATCACTATAGGTAAGTAATAACTTGTACATACTTTTGTAGTGGAGATTTGGAAGAATTAGCTATAAAATTGACTTTGAAGTTAATTTATTGGGGAGTCAAGAACGGATTAATTCATTTCCCATTATTTCTTATGGGGAAATTTGCTTCGGTTTATGAATTTTCGGGTTACGCACCGTCTCCAGGAACGGATTAAATTTGTAAACTGAGATACCCCTGTATATGAGTTTGGATAGCATCAGGAAGCCTCAGAAAATGCCGTTTCATTACATTCAACGCTATTTTTTTTTTTTTTTTTTATATACTAGTACCAACATACAAAGAGTTTTTACATTCTTGTAAAGCCACTAGCATGCATAGTGTTTCGGGTAGGTCCATAAGCTTAATGAGAATTAGGAGAATACGACCCGCCAAATCGTTTAACAACCAGGTACCCGTTCACTGCTGGGTGAACAGAGACTACAGTTAAGGATTGATGCCTAGTCAATCCTCCATGGCCAAGATGCGAACCATAGCCAAATCGCTTGTGACATACCGGGCGAGTGTTTTACCACTGCGCCATGGGGATTGCCTTCATAAGTATATGTAGATGTAATGGAATGGTCACAGCCTTAAGTGTCAGCTTGGTCTTGGGTAGCATGGATTGAGTATGACGGCTCATTTAGTGCTCACATGGCTGGCAACCCAGTGTTGAGAATGCAGTATGTTATAAACATTTCACATTGCTTCCCCAGACTCCAGCTGACCTGCTGTTGATTCCAGAAATGAGCAGAAAGCAGTGTTCACAGTGTTTCACATGGACCACTGTAACAATAGAAGTAGAAGACTAAACCACATGCATGAAGATGAGGAGATGACAAAGTTTCGGTTAATCCTGGACCATTATCAAGTAGTAGCTTTGTGTTGCATGGCACTCCCGACTTTGTTAGTCTTTCACCAAATCCTTGTTCTGACATCCAAAGCTGCGTGAGTGAGTCCTTTAGCATTCCTGCTTCACATCACTGCTTGAATACAGTGGTCATTTCAGCTTATGGGGCTCCAATCAGGTTTAGACTCTGGTGACAGCAGAGCTCCAAGGTGAGTGCCTGTAATCTGTAACATCAAGCAGACAGATGATGAGCTGTCTCGTTGACACATGCCATTGACACACTCACAAGTCAAGCCTGGCCTGAGGTGGGCTGGGCTTGGGGAGTAGACGAACTCCCAGAAGCAGGTCCCAGATATCAATGCTTGATATCGAGCAGGTATTAAGCAAGCATCATTATAGGTTTCTTGTTGGTTAACCTAGATCAGAGGTAAGCCCCAAGCTTAGTAGCTGTGTGTTGCTAGCTTGAGAAGGTTGTTCAGTGGCCCAGTGGTGCAAGACATACTTCAGAAGGAGCTTGGGTGTTTTGTGATATTTGTGTATTATTCCCGCCAAACACACACCGAAACTACGACGTTGGTACAACGTTCGAACAAGTTTTAACACCTCCTAACCAGTTATAACAACCAATATAGCAAGTTGTAACAACATTCTAATACGTCATAAACACGTTAAGCCAAGATGTAACAACTTTATTACAAGTTGTAACAAGCAGAAAATAGACAGTTTCGGTTTGTGTTTCCAGGGTTATAATGGGCAATTTATCTCACTTGTATGGTTGATCTCTGATCTCCATGAGCTGCCTGCAACATTGAGGGAACAAGACAGAATTTTACAAGTCAGTGTCCCCCATCCTGTCCTAAGGTTTCTCAACATCAAGAAACTGTCATACTAAAGTGCCCTTATCCTAACCTACCAGAGGACCCAAACAGAAAATGGGACAGTATGTCAATTTTGCAAGCCACTACCATTTAATTGTACAAAAATTTTTAGCCTTAGGTTAAGTATGTGTCAATATGTGACGCTCCATTAGGAGGACAGATTGTGTCCCCGCTGGATAGAAAAAGTCATCCAATGCCTGACATGATATTGCCACACTTTATTATTATTTAAAAGAAAAAAAATAGACTGTATGTGGCCACTGTAAAGTACTTTTAGTTATTTATTTTAGCATTTTCCTCTTCCATATAGGACTATCCTCCTCATCTGATACTTCCACACGGATCCTACCTCATGAATCTCGGCTCACCCGTACCTGAAACCTTAGAAAAGAGTAGGAATATGTTGCTGGAAGAGCTTCAGAGATGTGAAAAACTACAGATTCCTCATTACAACTTTCATCCAGGTTTGTGACTAACATATTTTTCCCTCATTATTTAATATATTTTTGTATGCAGTATTTATTTTGAATGAGAATATGCAGAATAATTAATTGTAAGATAGTAAAATGACAGTCTTAGTAGCTGATGGAGAGTGCATATTAGGCATTAAACACTGTTAGGTTTTAAAATCCACCTGGAATGGATCATCACGGCAAATAGGGAGGACCTACAACAAGCCGCCGGCTTCCTGTCTTCGTCTAGGCCACTAGCGTTAGTGGCCCTCAGGTAAATCATTACTTGCCAGGAATATTTTGGTTATTTTACAGTATATATAGTGCTCCATTGGGCACTATACATAAAAAAAAATTGTGTTTAACACACAGCTTTGGGTTTTCTCATAATTGTGTTACTTGCATGCCACATATTATAAATATTACATAAATTGACATTGAATTAACCCTTAAAGTGCGCATCACTTCATATGAAGTGTAAATCGTTTTACCAGTCAACTGCGCTTCACTTCATATGAAGTGTATGGGTACCGCGCACGATTTGAATGGCCCGCGGTGTAGCTGGGGGTCCCATACGCTGCCCAGGGGCTCTAGTAAACAGCGGCCATTTTGAAAAAAAATCCAGCTCACGATTCGATGGCATGGGAGGCCTCAGTTTAGCGAGAGTCACCATGGCGAGCGCACGGTCAAACGCCTCACGGGCACGCACCACTCAGTCCCTCACCCCAGAGCAAATAGCCCACGAATTATTCTCTGAAGGTGAAGAAAGTGTGTTTGACGATTCAGACAACGATGAGGATTATACACAGTTGTCGGGTGATAGCAGCAGCAGTGAAAGTGAGAATGACCGCCATGCCATGGCGAGGCCTATTCGCTCTCCCATGCCTCCTCGCCCATTTTCTACCCCAATTCTACCACGACCTCACAGTTCCTGTGGATATTTTCTGTTTGAGGGTGACGAGTCAGAGGGAGGTGACTCCTTTTCTGGGTTTAGTGACTCAGATCAAAGTTTTATTGAGCCTGTGGCTGGTACCAGTGGTGTAACTGGGCGAGAAATTGTCGCGTCAGCAGCATCTCGCCCGGCCAAGCGCCACCGCATGGCACCACATGAGGGACCAAGACCCTCGTGTTCACGTGCACCCACCTCACGTGCACCCACCTCACGTGCACGTAGCCGCCGTGCTTCTCGCAGACGGTATTCAGCTCCTGGTCGCCGGTATGCATCGCTTCCTCGCCGTCTTTCCTCTGCATCTCGCAGGACGCCTGGTGTACTTGAGTGGAGTGATGGTGACGATTTTATTCCTAATATTCCTCACTTTGACGATAAAGATGTAGGGATTACAAACCTTTTCCCTAATCAAGGTGAGGACATGGCTGAGATGGAATATTTTACAGCATTCTATGATGAACCACTCATGGAATACATTGTACACCAAACGAACCTGCATGCTGCTTACCTGATTGAGAGGGAAATCACAGAATTTTCACGACTGCAGCGTTGGAAAAATACCACAGTGGCGGAAATGTATGTGTTTTTGGCACTCTGTTTGTTGATGAAGCACTGTCACAAACATGCAATAAATGACTATTGGAGCAAGGACAAGACAATACCAACACCTTTATTCGGGAAATATATGTCACGGGACAGGTTTCAGATACTCCTCAGGTGTCTACATTTTGGAAGTGTTCAGGACCGAACACCTGATGATAGACTGTGGCGAGTGAGGCACTACATGAACGATGTTATTGGAAAATTCAGAGATTTTTACGTACCAGCACAGAAGCTGGTGGTTGATGAATCTCTCATACTTTTCAAGGGACGTGTTCCATTCAAACAGTACATTCCCTCAAAACGAAACCGATTTGGCCTGAAATTTTTTGTTCTTTGTGATTGTGAGACAGGATACGTGTTACACATGATTCTGTACTCGGCTAGTGATGTAGACATTCCCGGTAACGACGAACATGGATTCTCGGGGAGTGTAGTGAAGACCATCATGGCTCCGTGGATGAACAAGGGACACATTTTATACACAGATAATTACTATACAAGTCCCTTGCTAGCTCGGTTCTTGCTAGAAAATAGAACCGGATTGGTTGGTACAGTAAAGCCACAACGAAGGGAAATGCCTGTGTTTGACAACGACATTGCAGTTGGTGAGTGTCAGAGAAGGAAAAGTGATAACATTCTGTCAGTTCGGTGGAAAGACAAAAGAGAGGTGAACTTGTTGACAACAATTCATGATGGAACGATGGTGAACAGTGGGAAAGTGAGCCATAAAACAAACGCACCACTATATAAGCCAGACTGTGTTTTAGACTATAATATCAACATGCGGTTGATTGATAAATCAGACATGATGATTGGCACTGCAGAGTGTGTGCGGAAGACATGTAGGTGGACGAAAAAAGTGTTCTTCCATCTTGTGGACATGAGCATGCTGAAGTGTTTCAACATGTACCTTGTGAGAACTGGACGTAAGCCCACTTTCCGTGACTTTGTATTTGATGCTGCAATACAGTTATTAGGAAAGTTTGCAAAAGATGTCCCAGGTATTCAGCGGCCCATCATAAACCCACTGTTGCAGCATGCTGGTACTCCACGCCTCGCTCACACTGAAGGCTTCCTAGCACACAAACTTAAGTATTTGCCACCTGGTGTGAAGCGTGCAATAGCCCAACGTGATTGCTTGGTGTGTAAAACAACGACACGTAGAGACAAGAAACGGAAGCTTGTGCAAACATGGTGTGAAACGTGTGGTATCCCATTATGTGCTGTCGACTGCTTCAATGACTACCACAGTCTAGAAATCTTCTAAGTGTGCTTCAAAGTGTGTATAGCGTGTGCGAGTGTGTAAATATGTAAACATATAAGCAGATAGCGTGTGCGTGTGTGTAAATATATACAAATATAAGCAGAACATACAATATAATAGACTGTAATGACATATTATATTGCCGTAATTGAAAACATTTGTGTGCGCCTGTGTATACTCAAATATGCACCAATTATTGATACAAAATATGTTCAAACAGTATTTGAAACACAATTAGTGAAAAAAAATTAGATAAAATGCGCTTAGACATTGTAAATAAATAGCGCGAAAATATATTTGTGGCAACTCTGGCTGTTTGAGGACCGCGCGCAACATCTCCCGGGCGTGTACTGCATGAGCGAACATGCAGATTGTGACGTCATCACCGAGCTTCTCGGCTCTATTGCAACAAAAGTAAGTACAATAGAATTTTTTTTTTATTTTTCCCGTGATCAGTGAACAGAACTTAACAGATTAGCAAAAAAAAAAAAATTTTTTTTTTTTCAAAATGACATGCGCCTGTGTGGATAGCAGGATATTAGACCCCGAGCATGTTAAGGGTTAAGAGGCCATAAAATATTATTTGACATGGATAAAGCCAATTTGGATGTATATATGGTTTTGATCAAAAGCTTTCCTATGTTATATGAAGCTTTCCATGTTATGTTGTTTTTTCCATTCACTCTCCATATAAATACTCTGCAAGAATTCCCTCAGTGCCAATGTGCTGTAAAAAGTAAAACACCAGTATCGGGTCTTTGTTGAGCCCAAACTCTCTCATACCAATCCCATAGTGTAGTGGGATCATTTATTTAGAAGCTTTCCCTAAGTTTATATTTGCAGTATTAAGCAATTATTTGCAATTTATTGCAATTTATTTATTTACTGTAAGATGGTACAGTACAGTTTTTCACCTCTTTCTGTGGGGAGCCCCATTGGCTTCCTGGAGCTATTGGACTGATATTAGCTATATTAGTCTGCGGCTTCAGTCACATGGAGTTGTCTTCCTACTGGGAACCACAAGCCAGAACCTGGTTCCCTCAGAGGCGAAGGGAGCAATGGCTTATGAAACTCCACTCTTTGAGAGTACATGTTTATTCATGTCTGCCATCGACCGGGGTTGGGCACCCAGAAAGGTAGGCGCTTCAAAACAGACCCCAACTGATAGAAAATTGTGATCTGAGACCGAAACAGAGGCCAAAAACTCCCCCAAGAAAAACAAGAAAACACCAGACAAGCAAATCGTCATCAACCCGATGCACCGCTCATTCGTTCTGGCCTCCCCGAGCCAGCTGCCTGCATACCAATTTGTCGACCAAAGCCGGTTGGGGCTGACATCTACTGTCCTCATTTGCCTGTCAGGATTTTTGCCCTAGCGGTGGTGCTTGCTGTGTGTTGGTGTGGTGGCAAGGAGTTACAAGTACTTGGGCTGCATGCACTTCGGGTTCTCTTCCCTAGGCTTCCTGTAAGTATTTTCCTTGGGTCTCAGGGTTATCTTTCCTGGGGTTACCTTCCACAAACCCTTCAAGAACTACCTCTGCAGGGTTCTTTAGCTGTTCGGTGATTGTCCGCTCTTTGTATCAGCTGGGGCTTTTTTTGCCACTGTTTGTCCTTGGGTAGTATTGTCACTGGCAGGGGTGCAAGATACTGTGCATCTGTCTTATACTATGCATAGTGGCCGGTTCTGTTCCCTCCTGGAGACGTACTCAAGCAGGGTTTTTCTTTTTCTTTTGTTTTGGTTGCCTGGTGGGGGTCTGCCTGGGGTGGCTACAGGACCACTTGTATTATCTTGGTGGCACTCCGCTAAGCCCCCGTGATTGTACACGTCACAGGGGTTCAGCTTTTGTTTGTTTGTTTGGTAGTTTTGGGATAAATGGTTAGCAGTACCTTGCCTAGGCTTTGCTGAGCAGTCAGCCTAAGGGGCCCCTGGAAAAAGCCATTGGGGCTCATTGGGCTCATTGGTCCAATGGATGCGTCCTCTGAGTCCCATCTCGCTTCATGCGAGTTATAAGATTGCTCTGTCCCCTTGTCTGAGGGTGACACTCATCGTTTACCTCTGCCATGCTGCCTGTTTGGTCAATGACACCTTTGACCTGGAGTCCTGCGAGTGGTGTTCCTTGCTTATACTCCAATTCAACCAGTCCACTGCTATTGATATTCGGGTGCAGGCAGCTTCAGTGCTGCATGTGAGGTTGAAGTTGCTGTAATGCGCTAGGGTGGTGTTGAGCTCCCCCCTTCCCCCCCAACCCCCCCTCCCCCCTCTAACCCCCCTCCCCCCTCCAACCCCCCCTCCCCCCTCTAACCCCCCTCCCCCCCTCCCCCCTCTAACCCCCCTCCCCCCTCCAACCCCCCCTCCCCCAACCCCCCCCCCCCCCCACCCCCCTCCCCCCCATTAACCCCCCCCCCCCCCCAACCCCCCAACCCCGTCCCCCCTGCCATTGCCAGCTTCCAAATGTCTGAGGGTTTTGGAGTCGAGGCAACGTTTAGATGGTGGTGCTACTCAGGTGGTTTCGGGGGCTACCCCTTCCGGGTCAGCGGCGGAGGCATTCGAGCTGGTTCCTCCTGCCAGGGCTTTTGGGTTGGACCAGCGGACCTCCTCCTTCCCTGCTTTTCTTGTGGACTCTGCTTTTTCTCCAGAGGCAGAGGGTTTAGAGGACAGCTTTGCCCTGGGTCCTCACGTGGAGGATGCCTGGGCTGAGGAGTTGACTTGGGTGGCTTGGGCCCCGTTTGAGTGATGGTACCCTTGCGCAGGGCTTGTTGTTGCAGGGGGAGGGTTTCTATCCTCCCTTCGTGTACGAGTTTTATATGAGATCAGCTCCTCCCCAGGTTCAGTTCCGAGTTTTCTTGGGTTTCTCGGTTCCCTCTTTCCAGAGGTTTTTGGCTTCCCCAATCCCGCCTAAGGAGGTTTGGGAGGCTATTGCTTCATACCTCCTGCGAGACCTGGATTTTGCCTCAATAATGGATCCTTCTTCATTTGAGTTTGGTTCCTCTTTTCCTTACTGGGTGCGTTACACGGTGCCGGAGTCTTCCTGGTTGGCAGACTGCCCTTTCTTTTCATTGGGGGTGTGGCATGCGTTCTGTTGGACCCGCACGCTTGAGTGGTAGGAAACTACTATGGTGGTTCAGGTTTACCTGGAGGGGAGAGTTTGCGCACCTCATTGCGTGCTTGTTTGCCCCTGTTCTTCCTCAAGATATCGACCAGGTACAGCTTCACGTGCAGGTTCCCATCCTTTCGGTGTCCTTGGTGGTTGAGGACTTGCGTGCCTGTGGGCATTTGGCTTTGGTCTTGCGTGTCTTTTTCCTGCTTGAGCTGTCTTCGGATTGACTCGAGGAGGATGTGAAGGTACTGGGTTTTGGGCTTGCGTCCGATGCACTTGCCTCGGCAGCTCGGGGGTCGGCTGCCTGGTTGAAGTTGTTTGTGCCGATCCTGATGGAAACAGTGCTTCTGTTCTTTACTTCTCGCCTCGCGTGCAGACAGGTGGTGCTCGCTCACTCTTTGGAATCTGCTTGGGCCCTGGCTCTTAGACTTTCGTCCCCTTGTGCTCGTTGCTGTTTGCAGTCTTCAGTTGTGCAGTATCTGCAGGCGGCTTCGTCTAGTTGCCATTCCATGTCGGACTTGTTTGCTCTCTGGGAGGGAGGGGTCCTGCCCGGAAAGGTTGTACCAAGGTTTGGGGTTCTTTTGGTCATGGTGGGGCCAGTGGTGGCAGATTAGGGGCCCGGCCCCTCCTTCAGAGCCGAAGGCATCTGGTTGGCGTAGTGACCACTCTGTGCATTGTTCGGCTTCTCGTTAGGATCGTTGGCCCTTTAGCGGTTCGCCCTGTTCAATGGGCCATGGGGAGAGGCTTGCCCTCGTTTGCCGCCGAGATAAAGTATTCAGGGGGGAGACCAACAACGAAGCCACCTGGGCCCCATACAAGTGACGAGAAACTTGAGACACAAACTCCAGACGCGAAGACCCGAGGAGAAGAACGAACCTGCCTCGTACCGGGCTGGACTGATCTGTAGAAAGAGGCGGAGCTGCGGGAAGACTCTTGGGTTCAGACATGAGCAAGCAGTGCCTGAAACCAAGGCTGGGTCGGCCACCAATGAGCCAGAAGGACAGCTCTTCCCTGGTAAGCCTCCAAGCAAGCCAGAACCTAGGACACCCCCGAACGTGAACCGCCAGGAGAGCCAACCCCGAAAACTCAGCAGACGAGTCACCCGAAGCGACCAGCCCCAAAGAGCTAAGGACCGCATGAAACACCCCCCTCTGTTCAGGCAAAGAACCACCGGGGAACAGATCGATTGGAGCTGGATTGTTGATCCTTGAGCGACCCGAATCCCCCTGGAGCGACATCCACAAAGCCGCAAACACCCGCACCACGCTGTGAGCCCAATGGAAGGACTGACCCCACTGTTCCCTGGTAACCTTGAAGCGCCACACCAAAACCGAGTCAGTCCCAGAACCTTTGATGAATCAAGACGTACCAATACGCGTCCACAAGGCCCAGGGACGCCATCCAAGTGCCCGGCTCCAACAGAAGACGGACCTGGGACAGAGGAGTCATCCGAAGGAGGGGCAATAAACCCATGGGTGTAGACGGGACAAGTCTGAATAGGGGTTTGTTTTGGGGCTCTTACCTTTCTGGGTGCCTGTCCCGGTCGATGGCAGATATAGAATGTTCCAAAATCACATGTGCATTTCTATATGACGTTGCTCCTCATGCCTCTCTGAGGGGGGCCAGGTTCTGGCCGTGGTCTCCGGTTGGCCTAGAACTCTACCCACATCGACTGATGCCAAAAGTTAGGACTATCCGTATCAGCCTGGATAGCTCCGGGAAGCCTCCGGGACTCATCCAGAAAAATGGCGTTTCATTACATTCAACATTGGTTCTTTATTCTAAAGTATTCCTGTTAGTGAACTTAATTATATTGACTTAATTATCAATATTTTTTTGTTATTAAAGTATGAATGTGGAATAATAATAATGATTGTGGCAGGGTCAACTTTGGGGAAGATAAGCAGGGAGGAATGCTGCAAGACCATTGCTGAGAGTATCAATCTTGCCCATAGTCAGACCAAGGCAGTTATATGTGTCTTGGAGAACATGAGCTGTCAGGTAAGTTAATACACAATCTTTTGTATTACTATGTATAGTATAGTATAAAATAAAGACGTTAATTGTAGAAGAAAGCTTCATTCTAAGCAAGCCACTCAGTTGCTCCTTTGGGCAAGACTTCCTCTGGCCAAGTTCATTAGGGAGCTATGTGATAAACAATAATAATAATATTATTATTATTATTATTATTATTATTATTATTATTATTATTATTATTATTATTATTATTATTATTATTAATACACAGAGTAATCACACTAATGTGACTACATCAGTGAGAAAATCATCATCACGGCTCCTACGGATTTTCTCAATAATAATAATAATAATAATAATAATAATAATAATAATAATATTAATATTAATATTAATATTAATAATCTTTATTCAGAAGATTGTGTGCATAAAGCACATAAGAGTAATGTGCAATTGTAGGGACAGAAGTTACACATGCTAATGAAGCACTATTACGCAAAGCGTTTCCGACAAAACATAAACCAAGGAACGCTTTGCTTTGCTGCAGGATGTTCCATGAAGGGGCAGCAGAGTTCTGTAGCTAGAACTACTGCAAGTTCTGTAGCAAGAACAGTAGTTCTGGGCAAGAACTGCTGCCCAGCATTCAAGACAACTATTCCCACAGACCCCTGTCTGAAGGAAAGATCTCTGGTAAAATGGAGTCACATACAGGAAACCAGAACAAGTAAATGTTCACGAAAAATGGGCTAGTTATGGGGAGGGCTTATGTGGTGAAGAATGCCTGAAAAAGTTATCTTCCACAGACAAATGTAATATTCTTGCACAGGATTGGCATTCGTTCCTTGATAATCCAAGTGATTGGGCACTGTTCTATCACTCCTATTATAATAGGACCTCTTATCCCAGCTCCTTGTCTTCATATCCTTTGCAATTAGTATATAATTAGTTATACCTCTCAACATAAATAGTTAGAAGGAATCATAAGTCCAAAGTCACACCAAAAGAAATCAGGAAGTACCACCCCTCAAAAGATACAAACCACTACCAAGTACAGAATAATCCAAGGGCAGACGGATATCTAAGTTCCTTGGGACAAGAGATATTTGATAAAGGTTGCCACCCTGTCTGCAAATCCTGAATAAGGAGAAGAGCATGATCCTATGCAAGAGTTCTATCTAGTCCACACTGTGACTATTGAGGAAGCTCTCAAGTGTCATGATTGGAGGCCACTTAGAAAATGTTACGCTGCAAAAATGAAATCCCAAAAATGGAAATCCCCATCAGCTAGGGAAGTGTAAAAACAATGCCAGTTCAGAGCCAAAGTAAGGTTATGTATCTTGAAGCTACCTTGTGTTGGTTCTGGGGATCCATGTCTTTGTGGCCTGATTTCTGACCAGGCCTTAGGGTTGGTATTCTGGTCAACCAGGCTGTTAGATGCTGCTGCTCAATCTGAGGCTGTAATATGAATTACAGCCTCAGTTGATCAGGTATCCTTTAGAGGTGTTTATCAAATTCTCTTTTGAACACCATGAGAGAGGACAGCAAGTTATGCTCCTCTTGATAGAGGGAGTTTGTTGAAAAGTCTTGGGCACTTAACTTTGATAGAATTGTCTCTTAACATAGTTATTGCATCTCTGCTTTTCAGCAGGGCTATTTTGCACCTTTTGCCATGCCTCCTGGTCTCGTAAAGAAATATATCTGTATGTAGATTTGGAACCAGTCCTCTTAATATTTTCTAAGTAAATTATTATATTTATCTTGTCTGTGCTCTAGAGAATACAAATTGAGAAATTTAAAGAAGTCCTAACAATTTGGTTGTTTTATCTAATGGAGTTGGGAAGTAAAAATTCTTTGTACATTCTCCAGGTGAGGAATTTCTCCAGCTTTGAATGAGGCTGTTGATATGCAGCAGTATTCAGCCCAGATAGCACTAGTGTCTTAAAAAATACCATCATTGGTGGTATTGATCACACAACTTGATAATGGTCCAGAATGGACCGAAACATCACCGTTTCTCCATCTTCTGATGGGTGGTTTGGTCATCATACCATCATTGGTTTTAAAGGTGGGCACCCATCGTCCCACCTTAAGGGTGCCTGACAGCTGGGTGGACAGCACTTTGGATTCGTAGTCCTGAGGTTCCAGGTTTGATCCCCGGTGGAGGCGGAGACAAATGGGTAAAATGTTTCTTTCAACCCGATGCCTCTGTTACCTATCAATAAATAGGTACCTGGGAGTTAGACAGCTGCTACAGGCTGCTTCCTGGGGGTGGAGGCCTAGTCGAGGACCGGGCCGCGGGGACACTAAGCCCCGAAATCATCTCAAGATAACCTCAAGATAAGAACCCATGCCTAAAAAAAAACAAAACTGACAATCTCGGTCTCAATCCTTGCCTTAAAATGGACCGACAGTCCACAGTACTTTCGGAAGAAAAAACTATGACTGACTGTCCTAGCATTAAAAGTGAAATATTTAATTCATACACTATGAATATGCTGTTGCAGTTGAAGTATAAGAGTGGAAATATGCAGTTGAAGACAACAGAAATTATTAATATTTAATTTTAGTAAATTAAAATTAAATTTCAAATAATACAATTAATACTGAATAATAAAACTTAAAAAAAAAGGCAAGTTGAATGCTTCAGTTTCCCTTTATGAAGACTAGTATTTCAAAATAGCTGTTACTGATTTATGATAGAACATTATATGACATTTTTCTGCAGAGATTGTACACAACTGACAATGATTTAAAATAACTGGTCTATAATTTATTCCTTTATCAAAATGGAAATGCAGATGCATATTTTGTATTTGTAAAAGCACACCTTAACACTTTCGCATCCCCGGCATGCACACCCCAGTCTACCTTAATGTGTGCCGGGCGTTTCGTGTCAGTGCGCGGCCAAACTAAAATATGTATATTCTTTTCAGTTTTCTCACCTTAATTTTTGTGTTGCAACGTTCATTTTGGTATCAATGTGTTCACAATAGAATTTCCTACAGGGGTATATGCATATACAGTTCAAAAGCCTGGCATGCCCCTCGCACCAAGCTCAAAAATCGGCCGAGCGTTGCCCGTGAGCACGCAAGATCACTAGAATGTGTATACAGGTACTCTTAAGTTTTCTCACCTCATTTCTCGTGCCATGTTGTTCATTTTTATATCAATGTGTGTGCAATAGAATTCCCTACAGGGGTATATGCATATAAAGTCCAAAAGGCCAGTTCTATTCCACCTCTTCCCCCCCCTGCAGCAAAACCAAAAGTCGGGAAAGCGTTACCCATGAAGCGAGCACCCATTGGCATGCCTGCAACACTTACACAGAAATGTGTATACTCTTTTCAGTTTTCTAACATCAATTTTCGTATTACATCGTTCATTTTGGTATCAGAATGTTTGCAATAGAATTCTTTAAAGGAATATATGCATATAAGGTCAAAAAACCCGTCGTGCCACCCGCATCAACTTGTTCACAATATATTTTTCTAATGGGATATATGTATATAAGATAAAAATAAACAGGCGCACTACCCATACAAGTAGTGCTAGTCCCACAGCAAACTAGAAAGTCCGCTGAGCGTTACCCATGAGCCAGGCACCCCATCCGCACACCAACACTAAAATGTGTATACTCTGTTCAGTTTTCTCACCTCAATTTTCATGCTACGTCGTTCATTCTGGTATCAAAGGGTTCACAATCTAAAAGTGCGCATTTTAAAACTAGTCCCATAATGATTGGAAAACAAATAGATTTTTAACAAATATTTTGTCTTTGGACTTTGCAGCCGTCCTTGTCGCACATCCGCAAAGTTAATTGTGGACGTCGCAGACGTCCAGGGTGGACGATAGTGTTAACTTAGTCCTTTTCTAGTTTTCAAAACTAATAAAAAAGGGTAGCGGAACATTGGACCATCCAGAATGAATTTAAATTGTACCATCAGTCCTCATTTCAGTCCAGTTTGGAAAAAGGACCGAGTTTCTCAGTCAGTCCTTGAAATGGACTGGAATTTGGTACATTTGGAACTCAGTCCTGCCCACCTTTGATTAGTGTAATCTCTCTTATTGTTTGAAAGGTTCTTGATATTCAGCCTGGGATTTTTCTTCCAGTTATGATGGTTACTTCATTGTGTTCTTTTAAAGTAGTCTTTTCACATGATTACTTCCAAATCCTTTGAAGTGTTGTTTTCAATTTAATACAGTGGTACCTCAGAATACGAGTGTCCCTGTATACGAGTTTTTCGGAATACAAGCAGGATTTGCTCAGAAAATTTGCCTCAGAAGGCGAGGGTTGTCTCGGAAGACGAGGGTGTTGATACACGTATTGGCCGACTAGCGCGTGGTGGCAAGGCAATCGCGCCTCAGTTTACCAGTGCCTCGCACCCAGTGACTATCCCACCTGAATTCTTCACAAGGATTTACAGTTTTTTGTCGGATTTTTGGCCATTTGAGCATAAAAGTTGTTATTATATATCTCGCCATGGGTCCCAAGAAAGCCAGTGGTAAGGTTCAACCTAAGAAAATACAATGGGGCCTCGACTTACGATGCTAATCCGTTCCCAAAGACGGATCGTAAGTCGAAATATCGTAAGTCGAAATGATTTTTCCCATAAGAAATAAAGGGATTTGAATTAATCTGTTCCCCACCCTCCAAAATATTAACATACAAATACATTTTATACTGAATACAATGTTTTTTCTAACTACAATACAGTACCTAAGTTTATCTTACCTTTATGGAGGGCTCTTGATGGCGTATGGAAGATGGTGATGAGGGGGGAGAAGGAGAGTTGTTACTGTTTGGAAGGGGAGTTCCCTTCCATTATCACATCAGGCAGTGATGTTTTCTCTGGGTTATTCTCTCTCCTACATTTTGCCTGAATACCACTAGGACCTGGTTGTGGTTCAGTGCTTGTTTGTCTCACTACAAGTTTGTCAAGAGACATTTGTTGTTCCCTTCGTTTTAACATTTGTCTGTAATGATGCATCACTTTAGCACCCATAATGTCCTTTTTCTTAGCCAGTATGGTGGATATCGTTGACTGAGATTTGTTGTACTGCCTAGCCAGTCCAACCACCACACACCATCTTCATATTTACGAATGATCTCTTGTTTCTGCTCTATGGTCATTTTTACATGGGATCTCATATGTTGAGCCTTACCACTGACTTTCCTGGGACTCATGGTGTGATATACAGTATATAATAATTACTTTAATGTTCAAAATGCAAAAACTCACCACAAACGCGGAATTTCTTATAGGCGCGATCGTCACCAAGCGGGCAGCTGTAGTAAACTGAGGCAGGTCGGACTGCGTGACTGGAAGCCACACGCTTGGTCGACCCGAACGTGTACCAACAAATATCGTAAGTCGACGACACCATCGAATGTCGAGTCACATTTTTCGATGAAATTTACATCATAACTCGAAATTATCGTAAGTCGGGGCAATCGTAAGTCGAGGTGCCACTGTAGTTGTTAGTAGAGGCAGTAGAGGATGTCCTTTCTTCATTAAGAAAATGTGTGAAGTATGGGAAGAACTGCAAAGTTTTGTTGAAAAAACTCGTCCAGATAAAGCTGTAGCAGGCCGTTGCATTGACCTTTTAAATGACAATGTGATGTCTTACTACAGACAAGTGTTAAAATGTAGGGAAAAACAAGTGTCTTTAGACAGATTCTTAGTATAACAAGCAAGTCTTAGTGGTATGCAGGCAAAACTTGCAAGAGTGTGCATACCAGTGAAGTCCTCACTGCCTGATGTTATTATGGAAGGGGATTCCCCTTCCAAACAGTAACACCTCTCCTCCTTCCTCCTCACCATCTTCCATACACCAACAGCAATCATTAGCAAGGGTAAGTAATAACTTGAACATAGTTTTGTAGGTTTATTTAGATGAATTAGGTATAAAACTTAGTTTGAAGTGAGGTTTTCGGGTAGTCAGGAACGGATTAATTCATTTCCCATTATTTCTTATGGGGAAATTTGCTTCGAATTACGAGTTTTCGGAATACGAGCTGTCTCCAGGAACATATTAAACTCTTAAACCGAGGTACCCCTGTATGTAATTTGAGTTTTGTCTGTGGCTTCAATTTTTTTCAATTTTTATTTTTTTCTGTAGCAGAGAAAGTGTCTTCGTTGAACATCATGTTAATTTCTGTGGCAAATTGAAATACCTGGTTTACGTTAGTTTAGAGGTTTGCTGTTCCTCTATATTGTTTATTCACATAAACTTCGTAGTGTCATCTTCAAAGGCTGATGCGGAACTATATTTTGTGTCCTTGTCTATGTCCATGTTGGGAATCAGAACAAGTACTGGAGCACAGTACCCTGGGAGACTGAGCTTTTCCCAGTGGATGGTCTGGTTTTTACTTTAACTATTGCTCTTCGAATTCTGTTTGTTAGAAAATTAAAAGTACATCTTCCTACTTTGTTGCCCAACAACTTGGGCTGCTCGGTAAAGCAACGGTCTTGCTTCATGCAGGTCGGCGTTCAATCCCCGACAGTCCAAGTGGTTGGGTACCATTCCTTTCCCCCTCGTCTCATCCCAAATCCTTATCCTTATCCTTTCCAAGTGCTATATGGGCATAATGTCTTGGCACTTTCCCCCTGATAATTTTGTTCCTACTTTGTCAGTAATTCCTTTTTGTGCACATTTTCTGTGCAATAACACACAAATGACATACATTTGCAGAAAGCTGTGCAAAAATCTTTGTATACTGCTTCATCATGTAGCAATTGTGAAAGGCAGGAGCATCTTGTTCAGTACCTGTATTGTCCAAGAGTTGTTTATGAACTTAAAATAAGAAAAGCAGAGCCTTGGGAAGGCTAAGTGCTTGGCAGGTGAACTAGCAAGTAGTGAGAGCATTGCTTGGCAGTCCCTGTTAACACTATCGGTCACTTTGGACCGGACTCCCGTCCATTATTTTTCTCCCGAGTCCTAACCGAGGACCGGATTTGCGTCTACTACAAAAATATTTGTATAAAGTTAATTTTTTATCCAATCAACCTCGGGATAGTATCAAAATAAGCGCCTTTAGAATGCGCACAATTTGATACCAAAATGAAAGATGTAACATGAAACTTGATATCCGAACACTTATATGATTATAAATAGGTTTTTGGTCAAAATATTAAAATATTTGTTAAAATTCTATTTATTGTGCTATTATGTTGGGACTTGTTTTAAAATGCGCGCCTTTACGTCGCAAACAATTTGATGCCAAAATGAAAGATGTAACACAAAAATTTTTGTCAGAACACTGGAAAGATATAAATAATTTTGTGATGATGAGCTTCCAGAATTAAAATATTTGTTAAAATTCCAGTTATTGCTCTATTATTATGGGACTAGTTTTAAAATACGCACCTTTTTATTGCGAACAATTTGATACCAAAATGAAAGACATAACACGAAAATTGATGTAATCAAACTGAACGAGTATACACATTAGGTTGCAGTATACAAATTGGTGCTCGTTCACGGGTAACTTTAGGCTTTTCTGCGGGGAGGCACTCCAGGATTTTGTACATTATATTCATACACATCTGTAGAGAATTTAATTGCGAACACAATGTTACCAAAACGAGCGACGTAACACGAGAATTAAGGTGAGAAAAATGGAACGAGTATGCACATTTTACTGATTTTGTGCACTCACGGGCAACTTTTGCCGACTTTAGGCTTTGCTGTTGGGAGTCACGCCAGGCTTTTAGATATTATATTTATACACACCTGTAGGGAATTTAATTGCGAACACAATGATACCAAAACGAACAATGTACAGGCATACCTCAGAATAAGAGTTTAATCCGTTCCTGGAGACGCCTCGCCTTCCGAAAACTCGCATTCCGAAGTTAATTTCCCCATAAGAAATAAAGGGAAATGAATTAATCCGTTCCTGACTACCCCAAAAACCCCACATCAAACTAAATTTTTATACCTAATTTACCTAATTCATCTAAATAAACCTACAAAACTGTGTTCCAGTTATTACTTACCTTGCTGTCGAGTGCTGTAGGCGTATGGAAGATGGTGAGGAGGGGGGAGGAGGAGAGGAGTTACTGTTTGGAAGGGGAGTCCCCTTCCATAATCACATCACATAACCCCATGCCTTGTAACACTATGGATACCACTTCTCTTTCTAAATTTTTCAAACCAGCCCCTGCTTGCCTTAAACTCTTTCTTATCTGCATCACTCGTTGCAGGGGTATTCTTTAGAAGGTCTTCGTGCAACACCCTGGCTTTCTCACAAATAATGGCCTCCGAAACACTATCACCCCTCAACTCCTTGTCGTGTATCCAAATTAATAACAACTTTTCCACTTCTTCAAGTATTTGTGGTCTTTGTGCCGTTAATGTTCTTACTCCTTTTGCCACTTTAGCACCCATAATCTTATTTTTCTTCTTAAGTATAGTGCATATTGTTGATGTGGCTTTGTTGTACTGCCTACAAAGTTCAACAACACGTGTACCGTTCTCATGCTTCCGAATGATCTCTTGTTTCTCCTCTATTGTCATCCTCACAGGAGCTTTCTGGCCTTTATCCTTACCACCGGCTTTCTTGGGACCCATGGTGAGATATATAATAACAAATTGTATAGACAAATCACCAAAAATCCAACAAAACACTGAAAATCCGCGAGAAGAATTGATGTGGGGGTAGTCACCGAGCGCCAGACAATAATAAACTGAGGGGCGGCGGGGCGGAGGGGCGACGAACGCGCTAGGTCGGCTGTACGCGTATCAACAAACTCGCGTCCAAACTCGCCTCCCGAAGTAACCCTCGCCTTCTGAGACAAATTTTTGGAGTAAATACACCTCGCCTTCCGAAAACCTCGCATACAGGGACAATCGCATTCCGAGGTACCACTGTACCACCAGAATTAAGGTGAGAAAACTGAAACTAGTATACACATTTAGGCGTCGCCGCACGCTAGCCCGCACCATTAGGGCCATGACGTCAAAGTCCGCGGCGCACTCGTGGGGTGCGCGATAGTGTTAAAAGAAAAAATCATTTGGAAGGGCGTTCAACTTATTGGAATGAGCTCACAAGAAATTATTCTGGGCTGAAATGAGTATTCTCCAGTCTCTTCTGTTGCATCAGTATGACTTGTCAGGAATGTTTGGAGAGATTCTTAGTGCACAGGTGTAAAATGTTGATTTGCCATTACAATGAATAATGCTGTCTAGGGGACCAGCAGGAACTTACCCTAAGGGAGTGATAAAGCTGAGAAATTCAATAAAGGTTATTGATAAATAGCATAGAAGAGCACATTTAGGACATAATAAAAATGCTTCTGCAGCTGATGGGGTTCATAACGAATCATTAAAACAAGATCCTACTGCATTTGTATGTTACTTTATTGTACTGTATTTATCAATTACCTGTTTTGATGCCGGAGGCAGTATAACAGTAAATGAAAGTAAATATGAAAGTAAATTACTATATAATTGTTGACATGGTGAGGAAAACATTTCCAGGTACCAATAACCTATTACAGTACTATTAATTTTTTAGGGATTTACTATTGGGGGTGATCTTCACGAGCTGCGTGTCATCATTGAACATGTCAAAGACAAGTCACGAGTTGGAGTTTGCATAGATACATGTCATGCACATGCTGCAGGTAATATTTGTTTTTGACTTTGGTGCAGAAATCCCCACCTGTATTGCATCTACTGTACACAGTTTTTAAATATTTGGAATATATAACTATTAAGTGCCATCATGACCTTGGTCTCTCTTTCAAGCAGTGTTTCATAACTGATTTATCCCAGTTATGCTATTTTATAAATAATTTAATAAATTCTTGCAGGTTATGACCTCTCAACGGAAGCTGGGTTTCAGGAGTTATTGGATGACTTCGGCAAAATCATTGGGTGGCAATTTCTCCGAGGGCTACATATAAATGACTCTAAAGGTTAGTTACTATACTGAGTTAACCCCTGCATGGCAAACCTATTAAATGTTTGCCTCTTGCCTCAATAGGAGCGTTTGCCTATTACAAGGGGCCTCACTGCTGAGGGGATAGTGCTCCAGGGTCGTGGTCCTAAGGGCTCGGGTTCGATTCCCAGCAGAGGCAGAAACAAATGGGCAGTTTCTTTCAACCTGATGCCAATATTCACCTAGCAGTAAATAGGTACCCGGGAGTTAGACAGCTGTTTCGGGCGGCTTCCTGGGAATGTGTGTGTAATTACCTAAGTGTAGTTACAGGATGAGATCTACGCTCGTGGTGTCCTGTCTTCCCAGCACTCTTTGTCATATAACGCTTTGAAACTACTGACGGTCTTGGCCTCCACCACCTTTTCACCTAATTTGTTCCAACCGTCTACCACTCTGTTTGCAAAAGTGAATTTTCTTATATTTCTTCGGCATCTGTGTTTAGCTAGTTTATATCTATGACCTCTTGTTCTTAAAGTTCCAGGTCTCAGGAAATCTTCCCTATCGATTTTATCAATTCCTGTTACTATTTTGTATGTAGTGATCATATCACCTCTTTTTCTTCTGTGTTCTAGTTTTGGCATATTTAATGCCTCTAACCTCTCCTCGTAGCTCTCCTTGTGTGTGTGTGCGCGTGCATGTTATATAAAGAAATATATGAATAGGTAAGACATAGTAGAGGAAAAATAGATCGGGTTGAAAGGCGGGGTCTAAAAGCTAATAGCTCGATTCTGCTGGCACAGATAGTAAATACATGTGACATTCCTGTCGTGTGCACAAAAAATGAATTAAAAACAAATTGCTTTTCTTTCAATTAATTACTTTAAATTTTGCCCCGAGGGGCGAGTTTACTGGGCAGCGCCACTCATCCTGTGAGTGGACACACCACCATAACAGCATGTACAACACTCCCCAATAGGAAGAAAACCCGCTAGGTTGTTCATCCTGTCACTTGTACCCAGACACAGCTGTGACTTGCTTAACTGTTTCAAGTGAACAGCTTCTCAAACAAGATGATTAACATTGTAACCCCCATAAAATCTTATGTTATCTTGCGGATGCAAATTGGGGAAATCTTTTAAGAACAGTATCTATATTTAACAAATAGTATTTTCCTAACTAGAACAATATCTATATTTAAAAAATAGTATTTTCCTAACTCAAACAATGTGGAGTTTATTATTTTAAACATATTTCTATTGACTCTTAGATGTTCATATTCTCTCAGGTAGTGGTTAAGGCGGTGTCCATTACTCTCACCACAGTTTCTGCAACTCTGCTGCTCAACTGTTGTTTCCATTCCAAGAATCCATTTGTATTTGTATCCAGTACTCTCTCGGCTCTCTTGATTTCAGAGACTATCACAAGATTTTCTGCCTGATTTTTACTACTTTAAAGGGGGCTTCTCCCCCTTTGGGGGTTTGGGACTGGCAGGGTGGGCTACTTTCCCTGCGCTTCATGTCATCTTGGTGTGGGTGCGTTTGGACGTGGTCGATCCTCCCATCTTTCCGCGGTTCTCTCGTGTTCTAGTGCAGACATGGGCCTTGCAGATCTGCAGTTCTTCTGGACTTGTTCAGTCTGCGCCCTGGATTCTTTGCCCTCTTCGGAAGACTGTTGTCTTCGGTTCGGCTTCTGTTGAGGCTGGGTGCCTGGATGGTGTCCCTGGACCTCCGGGTTCTTTTTTGGCACGTTCCTCTCCAGGGTTTCGGGACTGGCACAGTTGGTGGTGGGGTTTCAGGTTTGCCGCTTTTATTGCCTTCCCTAGTTTGTAATTGGCATTTATTTACAAATCTTTACCAGATCTTGGTGACATGTCTGCGACTGTTCGGGATTCGGTTTCTGGCTTACCTCGACGACTGGCTAATATGGGCTCCCAGTCGGTCCGCTTGTCTGCTCGCCAGGGGTGTGGTTCTTTCCAGATCGCTGGGTTCGGGTTCCTGGTGATCTGGATCAACCGATTGAAGCTGTTCAATCTGGTTCCGTCCCGGGTTCAGACCTGGCTGGGTCTTTGTTTAGGATTCTTGGACTGCTTCTTTGTCTTACCCTCCAGAAGTGTTGCTGCGGCTGTGGTCCCGCCTTCGCCTGTTTATGAGGGGGTCCTGGGTCACTCGGCTGTTGCTTGAGCGGTTGTGCGGGAGTCTGAACTTCGATGTGCTGGTCTGCCCGCCAAGTCGGGTTTGGCTTTGCCGTCTGTTTGGTTCCTTCGGGTACTCCCCTTCCGCCTCTTTCGCGATCGTTGGGTTCATCCATCAGTGTAGATTTAATCAAATTCATTTCTGGCTTCTTTATATATTTTCTCAAGATACTTGTGCCTCATTTCTTGTGGTTATCATGTTATTCCCGCACTCGTTACTCTTCCTGCACTCATTACTCTTCCTGCACTCATTACTCTCCCTGCACTCATTACTCTTCCTGCACTCATTACTCTCCCTGCACTCATTACTCTCCCTGCACTCATCTCTTTTATCACAACAGTATTTTTAATCACCACTTCTACTATTACAACTACAGAGCACCACTTGGTTTCCGAACTTTAGTTATCCGAAACTTCCAGTTTCCCGATTGGGCTTGGGGAGTCACATTACACAAACTAAGTTCGGGTAGAAAGCAATCCGTCAAGCCTCGCACCGGCCGGGGGTTAGGGGTTACCCTACATTAACCAAGTTCGGGTGAGGAACCAGTCCAGTTGTCTGTGTGCGGGAGGAACGTGGGGTTTGCGCGCTCCGTGAATTAACTTCAATATATTCGGTCATATTAGTATTACAGTGATAGAACACGGATCACAGTTATCACAAAGTGTAAAACCACATTTTGAAAAAAAAAATACAGTGAAGCCATTAGAATTTTGTGTTTAATAGAGAATAACCACCTCGCACCAGCCCACGTGGGAACGTAGTGCCTACACCAGGCCCAAGTCTACATATACTTACCTCGGTATACTTAGACTATAGTGAACAGTGATACGTTGAATAGTGAACGGTAACAAAGCAGGCATAAAGGCTTGAAAGTGTAGGTAAATTGTCACATGGAAAATTTGGAACGTATAATTCAGTGAATAGTGAGACAACAAATACACCAGACTGTGTATAGGGGCCATGAGGCTTGTGTACTCACTCGGTAGGCTGTGAAGGGTCGCTCCATCCCCCCTTTACCACTGGTCAACAACCACCCATTGCCTACCACCACCACCACCATTGACCAGAAGCATTATGGTCAGAATGCCTTTAGTAAAGATGTGCAGAGAATGCAACAAGGAAGTAGATTACCACCAGTGCTTCCAGTGCCAATTATGTTCAGCAGCCATACACAATAAATGTGTCAATATGTCAAATAATGCCAGGAGAATTGGTCCCAGAGACCACTCGGTGTACTGGTTCTGCAAAAAGGATAATATTACTGTCTTGAAGATGATCGCAATTCTGGATAAAACCCCAGCAGAGCACAAAGAATCGCTTCTAACAGCCTGCAAGGAAATCTCCAATGTTTTCAAACAAATTGTCTAGGGCACCCAGGTAGAACCAGAATTGGAGCTACATCTCAGCGCGTCGGGGCCGGATGTGACGTTGGCGGAGGGGCTGGATGCGACGTTGGCGGCGGGGCTGGATGCGACATTGGCGGCGGGGCCGGATGCGACGTTGGCAGAGGGGCCGGATGCGACGTTGGCAGCGGGGCAGGATGCGACGTTGACGTCAGGGTCGGATGCTATGCTGGCGCCGGACGCGACGTTGGGGTCGGGCGTGGTGTCAGCGCCTGAACCGGGCGCGATATTGGCGCTAGGGATTTTGAGACAAACAAAACAAGGACCCAAAATCTGCCGATATTTAAAATGGGGTGTCTGTAAGCATGGGATATCAGGGAGAACAAATGGACTGTGTAAATATGATCATCCCAGAAAGTGCAGCACCCTTCTTAGTACAGGTAAATGTACCAAAAGCTGTGATCTCTTTCACCCAGAACTGTGCAAGAACTCTTTAAATAAGAATGAATGTTTCAACACACAATGTCCAGCTTTTCATATAAAAGGTACCAAGTGAATAAGACAGACAAACAAACCATCTTGATGAAAGCAGCCACAACAGTATTTACCAGGATAATTTTTTAGCAAGAGGAGAAGGAGAAGAATGGCTAAAAATGTCCAGACTCTACCATCAACTCGGTCAAATGCTAGAGAGGACGCAAACACAGTGGCCTCCTTACCAGAGCCTCAGATATTAACACCAAGTAAAGTATCCAGCAATTCCACGAACATAACATCATTTTTATTTGCCAACATTCAAGGTATAAAAACACGCAAATGTAACAAAGTGCACTTCATAGATGGCCTCTTACATGAGGCAAATGCAGTGTTTGCAGCCCTAACGGAAACTCACACCAAGGATTACCATGATGGTGAAATATGGATTTCAGAGTACAATCTTTTCAGATGTGACAGGAAACACAGGCTACAGGGTGGGGTCAGCCTCTACATCAAGGACACACTCATCTGTACTGAGCTGAGCTTCCACAAATGATATGGTGGAAGTGCTAATAATCAAAATAGAGATCTTAAATGTAGTTATTGTCCTTGTATATCAGTCACTGGAGGCAAATCATCAGCAGTTTAAAGACCAACTAATGAAAATAGAGCACTGCTTGGAAAACCTCACAAATCCAGCCCCAAACATCATCCTGCTTGGTGACTTCAACCTACGCCACCTGAAATGGAAGACCATAGCTGATACAGTTGTATCAGAGAGAATTCCAGGAAGTAGCCTAAATGAACAGGCACATGCAAATGACCTGCTACGGATGTGCGACAGGTTTGCCTTAAACCAGCATATAGTAGAACCAACTAGGAAGGAGAACACGCTGGACCTCATTTTCACTAATAATGATGATTTGATCCGGAACATAATGATTACAAATACCTGTTACTCAGATCAACTTAATTGAAGTTATGACAACCATGGGGAATAGACCATCAAAACCAGTCCCGATTCC